GCTGAGTTAATGTTTACACTCAGGCCCAGAGCAGCTTGTACTCGATGGCAAACAGAGCACAGCTGCCCAAACAGCCTCTCTGTCCCTCTGCAGGTCCATTGAGCTGAACGGCCGCGTGCTGCGGATGCTGGATGATGAAACACTGCCAGAGCTTGTGGAAAAGCCCCTTGGTCCTGGCAGACTGCTTGACCTTCCACCCTTCTCCTACGGCTTTTATGTTATCAAAAATGCCAAAGCTATTGCTTGCATTTAAGTGGTCAACACACACACTCAGGATAAATGTAAAGCATTTGCCTAGTAGGAAATTCTAATCCTAGAAATTCACATTTCTGCCACGGGATTTAATTCTGGTAAAGGAAGCAAATGTTGCAGCACTAGCACAGCTGTTAGCTGGGGAAGACTAAGGTCCCACTGGGTAACTGGTACAAGGAAGATTCCAGGAGAATTATCCAGGTAGAATAAGACCAGGCAGGTGCTGGTTTTGCTCTTGATCTAGCCTGTCACTGTGCTTGAGCGTGGAACCCTTCTCCACACCACGCAGAGAGCTTCTCACACTACCTGGGGCTCTGCCTACCCAGGCACTGCAACCTCCCCTCTCCCTCTCCTTTTGGCAAGCACAGCTCCTAAAGCAGTTTCTCCAAAAGCTTGCCTTCAGGAAGGATAAACAGAGTTTTTATTTGAGCTGTACAGCTGTGACCTCGCACTGTGTGGGGAAGCCTGAGAGGGCTGTGGTTGCTGAGGGTGTCTTGGGCTGGAAATTCTGGACGCACAAAGCAAACCAAGGTCAGGGTGCTTGCAGGGGCAAAGGCCTTGCAGAGAAACCAGTTCCTCTATTAGATTTGGGGAGACAACACACATTTTTCTCAAGCTAGGATTGTTCAGTCACAAGATGGAGCTGTGGCTCTGTGCTTTCCAAAGGCAAGTTGTTGATGCAGGAAATGCAGGCTGCTCCTGTAGGGTGGTCAAACTCTGCCATCACACACTTCTTCCCTGCACGAAAAGGAGAGGAGCCCAGCAGGCCCTGGCAATAACCCTCTGTGCTCAGGAGGCTGCACAGTGAGTGCTCATGACCCTTCAGCCTGCACCACTCTGCAGGCAGTTGAGCTGGAAAGGACTTTCCTGAACCTGTGCACAGGTAAAGCTCTCAAGCTCTCTCTGCTTTACACTCCCTGATGCACCCAGGTCTCTCTTGTCTTGGGAAAATGGGATAGGAGAGACGCTGAGGAAACCACTCACCCCTCAACCACCAGAGTTGCTATAGAGCATCCTGGGGACAGAAGTGCCCAGTCAGGCTGACATCCTTCTTACTGGAAAAACAGCGATTTTGGACAGAAATCAGTGTTGGTGGTGGCTTTTCTCCCCAGCTGAGCCTTCCCCATGCACACCCTGTTGCAGTTGGCTGTGCCAGGAATAGTTCCCTGTGGCACACAGGCTGCTGGTCCTCAGGGCAACAGAAAGCCTAGGACAGTAGCTGGGGCCTTCTGCATATATTTATTTGCATCTACTTTTCTTGAAGGTATGTAGCCCACACCACTCTCAATGCCTTATATTTATGAGCACAGCAGGGAAGAACTACCCCACACTACTGTACCTCCCTTTTTAAGCTTTAAAAAGATGCTACTAGTTACATGGGGTTTAATGTAGGGCAGGAAACCTTTTTTAATGAGATGACTTTCAAAACTGATGTACTTTCGTAGCTGTGATGGAAACCTGCACACTGAAAAGGTTATACTTGAGTTCAGTGTGTCAAAGGAGTGTGTGCATCCATGGAGCAGATGCATTTTGTGAAGGGGTATGTATCAGGGGATAACATAGATCAGAAACGAGGAAGGCTGAGTTTGTTTACATTGTCTAAGTTCAATAACAGAAGGAAAGAGAGTGTAAGATGGAAAGTCTTACATACAGTCAACATGAAGTTAATAATATATTATTATTATTGTAAAAATGTAAGTTCCAACCAAAACATCAAAGTTATCATTTGCCTGGTAGCTTCTTTTTAGGACTTTTCTAAAAATTTTGTTTATTCCAATGCTTGTGAGTTTTGTATTTGAAGATTTTAATTAAAGGAATTTATACCAACTTTTGGCAATCTTAATTTTTTTTAAGACTCCTTTTTGACATGTTGATACCAGGACACTCCCTACTTTTCTTTTGATCATAACTACCCGTGCTTCTTTTTACTATCAGTAAGAATACCCAAGTACACAAAAATGAAAGAAGTCCTACACAGGTTGGTGTGTTTCAATTGTGTTTGCCAAGCAGCTTAGAAGCCCTCCACCCAATGTGACTCAGATGTGAAACATGTGCTGGTGACTGGCACACAGGAACTATCAGGAGGGGCCCGGGATGTTTGCACATGCAAATGACAGCTGCTGCCAACCGTGGCTCCTCTCTGAGCCCTGTTCTTGGTGGTGGGGTGGGGAGGGGAGGTTTGATTTACAGCTCAGTAAATCAAAAACCTCGCTCTTTACAAAGTGTTGCACATCAAGCTAATAGCTACTGTTAGCTCTACACAAACAGAGCACGAGGGACAAAAGTGCAGGGAATGGGAAAGATGCTGGATCCCAGCACACCAAGGAGAGTATGGTCTGAAACAGAGATGAACATCACCCCAGGACCAATGCCTGCCCCACCCTTATCTCTGGGGCTTTTATTCCTCTGTGAATGTCATAAACCTCGGGGGATTGAATACACTTATTTGAGAGCAGGGAGAATCATATTTCACACTCATTCCAATTCACTTTTGCCCTTTTGACTCTTGAGGTCAGATTACTTACATTGAATCTCCTAGAAGGTGGAGTAAGTTGCATCACACTTTGGAGCAGGGGATCATTTGGTGTATGTGAAAATAAGGAAACTGATAACCACCTTAGAGTCAGGGACATTTTGACTATCAACTCAGATTTCAGCTAAAGAAGACAGCAGGGCTTTATTAGTCTGAAATGAGCTATTCCCTAGGTTATCTTTCAGTGAAGGCCCAGGCCACATTATTATGAATGTAAATACAGCAGCAGTAACTGTAAAAGTTTACTTTGTAAAAGTTTACTGCTCTACTTCCACGAGCTCCTTAAAATTTTTCTGCAGACAGTCCAGGGTTTCCTTGCCACTTCACACATATAAAAACACCAAAGCAATGTCTACAGAGGACATACACCTGGTGACAATGAGCATCCACGTTCCTACACACATGGCAGGCAGAGAGGCTGTGGGGATTCATTGCCAGGATTCACTATTCAATCACACCTCAGGTACTTGTCTGTATCTGAATAAAGCCCATGATGACTTTCTCAGCAAGATAAGGAACCTAGATTATTAGCTACTCTTCACCAGAGTTGAGCAGTTCTCTCCTTTATGGTCCCGTGCAAATCGTTTTTCAGCTGTGGAGTACTGCTCATTAAAACAATAAAACACTGGCAAAACATTGGCAAAACATTAAAGTCACTTCTCCATCACATTCATATTTCATTTCCTCCTGCTAGTCAGCATCTTGGGAAATCAAAGTTCAAAATGGTTTCCATTGTCTTCTACCAGTGTGTGAGCCATTCAAGCTGAAGGAAGTGTGTAATGCAAAAGAATTTATACTCTAGAGGGACAATGAACTCCCCAAGGAATCTTTTAGCAGCAGATCTGAGGACACAGACACTGAAACCATGCCATGAAAAGCAAAGGTTTTATGGTTCTCTGCTCTCTGGTTTGTGCAATAACTCATAAGTTGGTGTTGTGACCCTGAAGGGGAGGTAACTGAGGTTCTTGTTAATGAGGCGGAGAAGAGTGAAATGACACATGAATGACCGGTGTTTATATATAGCAGGTTTAGTTTAGAACTACGGAAAGGAGGTATACAGCCGCTTCAGATATTATCTATAGAAATATAACCATAGAAAATATAAAGATAGAATTTAAGAAAATATGTAAGGAAAAGAAAGAGAAAGGACAAGACAGACAGTGGGAAGATATGAAGGGAATGAGAAGAATGTGTCTTTACAAACAAACTGTGAGTATGCCTGTAGGTAAAGCTAGATGCTGATAGGTGAAAGAAACAACGGGAGTAACCATAAATTTCAGACAGAGACTTTCTCATCTAAGGCTGTATTAAAATCCTGGACTTAGAGATACAAAGAAAAGGCAGGGGGTGGTGTGCATATTCGAAGGGGATACGTATTAGGTGATTTGGGCAGCCTGTACCTCCCAAGTACCTCAGTCAATGGGGAAAGGAAGAGGGTCATGCGGCCGGGAAAATAGGGTTAAAGAAAGCTACGTCCCCCAAAAACTTGAGGGATGCCACAGGAATGCTCATGGCGTCTCCCTTTTTTTTGGAATAAAGTCAGAGGACTTCTCTGTCTCCTTTTAGGACATAAACCTCCGGTGCTGGGAATTTTTCTGTACAGATAACACCACCTGTGGACCCAGCAACAAGACTTAATTGATGCATTGAATTTTCTTGTGTGATGATCGCAGTGTTGATCCATCAGGGGTGGGGGAAGCCCCTGAAACATTAAGTTCAATGGGTTAATACCAATCCGGTTCAGGTGGGAATGCCCAGGTACCTGCCCTGTTGCTAAGCGAAGGTGGGCTTGCCACGGCCACCCGGGCTGTTCCTGTGCTGGTCTGAGATTTCCCAACACACATCCCAAGCCCTCTCCTCCTCCCCTCCAGCTCGGGGAGCGCAAACCTGGCCACAGCCAAGGTTGCGCTGCTTTCGGATGCCGCTGGGTGTGGGAGTCATTAACCCCCAGCATTTCAGTCCCTCACACACATGGTGGGAGAACTGAGTGAGCGAGGAGACGAGACACAAAGGCCACATGGGAAATCTGATTTTTTTCTTTTTTAATTACCTACAGTGAGGAAAGGTCTTGGAGATGACACGAATGTTAAGAACGAGCACGTCAATAAGTTTCGAGGACGAGGATTTCCCTGAGAACACACCAACCCCGCCCCGCCTCAGCCCCGGCGCAGGGTGCCCGGGGTCGCCGCGCATGCGCAGCGCCGCGAGACTCCGTCCCGCCGGCAGCGGGACGGCGCTAAGATGGCGGCGGCGCTGCTGGCGCGATGGTGCCGGGGTGTTCCCGGGCTCCGGGACACGCTCGGGCTCCGCGCCGCCCGCCTGCCCCTCGCCGCCGCCCCACCGCTGTTGCTCCGCCGCCTCGCCGCGCCCCCGGGGCCGCGCAGCTTCTCGGCGGCCGAGCTGGTGCGCGCCGCGCCGGCCCCGCTGCAGCCGTACTTGCGGCTCATGCGGCTGCACCAGCCCGCCGGTGAGCGCGGCGGGGAGGGCCGGGGCCGCCCGTGGCCTCCCGTTCCCCGCTGAGCCCGCCCGCGGGTTTTGTCTCCCCGCAGGGACGTGGCTGCTCTACCTGCCGTGCACCTGGAGCATCGGGCTGGCGGCCGCGCCCGGCTGCCTGCCGGACTGGCACATGCTGTCGCTGTTCGGCGTGGGAGCCGTGCTCATGCGGGGGGCCGGCTGCACCATCAATGACATGTGGGATCGCGACTATGACAGACAGGTAGCGAACCGCGGGGCCAGGCCGCTCACAGTGACACGACAAGCGGGCGTGGCTTCAGATTGAAAGAGTAGGTTTAGATTAGATATTAGGAATAAGTTCTTCACTCTGAGGATGGTGAGGCGTTGGAGTAGGTTGCCCGGAGAAGTTTTAGGTGGCCCATCGCTGAAAGTGTTCAAGGCCCAGTTAGATGGGGCTGCAAGTAACCTGGTCTAGTAAAAAGTGTCCATGCCCACAACACGAGGGTTGGAATGAGGTGATCTTCAAGGTCCCCTTCCAATTCAAGCCCTTCTGTGATTCAGAGAACCGAGCATGCGCTCATTCGTCTCCATGTCACAGAATCAACAGAATTTTTAGGGTTAGAAGGGATCTCGGGAGATGATCTAGCTCAACCCCCTTGCCAAGGCCAGCTCATCTACAGCAGGTTACACAGGAACACATCCAAATGGATTTTGAATGTCTCCAGGGAGAGAAACTGCACTTAACACATGCTGTTTTTTCTCAGCCATGCACCAAGGGTTCTGAAGGCACTGACGTCCATGAACATCACTAGTGATTCCTTGATGAGTGCAGGCTCCAGCTTCAGGAATTCCTCCATGTTTCTGTCTGACATGCATGCAATTAATTTGTTTATATTTCCTCCAAAACCAGTAGAAAGTATTTTTTTCCTCTGTCTAGGACTGTATTAAGTCTTGTAGAATACTCACCTCTGTGTAAGATAAAATACATGCTGTTGTTTGCTTTAGGCAGTACTTGAACAAGTTTATTTTTCAACCTTGTTTTGCACCACAGAACAAACCAAGTAACACTTTTTTGCTACACTTGCTAGTGACAATCTATCCAAGAATTACTCCCCCCCCCCTCCCTAATTTTAGGACCAGCGTTTCCTTTTATTGTTGTATTGTTAATTTTGGCTGTTCAGAGTATCATGCCCAGCCCTGAGCTAATCTCCTTCTATTATGTTGTATGTTTTCATTTATCATCTCCCATTTGTTCAGAAGAGGGAAATAAGTAAAAAGCAGTGCCCAGTGTGAGATTCTAAAACGTGCACAGGTTCCAGCTTGGACGGGAACATCCTGATGATGCTGTTTGCTCCTCCTGTTCTTATTTCCTGTATTGTTCCTGTGGTTTTGGAGTTTTGAGTTTTGGCCCTACAAGACACAGACTAATGAGCCAATCCAATATGTGGAGTTCTTAGTATGGCACTTGTGTTTGTGCTGTTGGGAAGGCAGAGAATCAGAATGGGGTTTATGGAAGCTTTGGATGGTTTAGGGTTTGGAACGTGTTAACAACTACATATGCTAAACAGATTTGATGTGGGGATGTGATAAGTAAAAACGAATTTCAATATAATGGTTTAATTTGTGCATTATGTGATGTGGTCAGATAGAAAGTTTTAAAAATTGCCTTCACAGCTTTTTCTGGGGTACCTTAAAAGGCTTCCTTCAACACAGGTGCCATAAAGGCCAGGCCAACAGCAGGTTGGTGTAGGTGATGGTGTGTCACAGAGATCTTTTGTGAAAAATCTTTTCTTTAGGATTTTTCCTCTTTCTGAGAAGCTGTGGCCTCAGCAACAAAATGTAAACCATGGTTATCTGCTGCTGTGGAATGCAACAAGTAGATCCGTGATTGGTCTCCTGTGAATGTTTAGATTTACTGACCACTCACGGCAGAGCTGTTCTTGCTTTCTGCCTAGACACAGAACTTTGTTGATTCTTTCCTTTTCTATTCTTAGCATAGCAAGCTTCTGAGAACCTTTCTCTCTATTCTTTTAGTATAGTCATAATGTAATATATATCATAAAATAATAAATCAAGGTCAACATTCTCGTCTCCTCTTCATCCTGAAAAACCCTTGCAAGCCCTGTAACAATGGTGATTTGGGGTTTAGATTTTGTGTTACTGATTATTTGGGACATATTTTCTTTAAGTGAAGCATCCCATGTTTGGTTGCACTGTGCAGTGGAATTGGTCACAGCTGTGTTAAGTGCATGTTTACTGCTCCAAAAGCAGTACTTGATGTTAGCATTGCCTGATGGCAGAGGGGAGAACAAGCTAAAAGGGTTTATTTAAATTCACATTATTCAAGCATAGACAAGATACTTTTTATGTACAGAATATTCTGTAAAAGTTGGCTTTTGAACCTCATTGAATAGACTTGACACCATTTTCATCAAAATGCACAATTTCATGGAATTGTTAGGTTGAAAGGCACCTCTGGAGATCATCGAGCCCAGCCTGGCAAGGCAGGGGCACCTGGAGCAGGTGACACAGGAACATGTTCAGGTGGGGTTTGGAATGTCTCCAGAGAGGGACACTCCACAATTTCCCTGGGCAGCCTGCTCCAGTGCTCTGCCACCCTCAGTGTAGAGAAGTTCTTGCTCATGTTGAGGTGAAATTCAGTCATTTGGTGTTCTTTTGGTGTTGGTAATCTTTGGCAAGTATTCACCATTCATTTATTTTAAATTTTTTCTGACACTTGTTTCTTTCTTCAGTTTAGCTTGTATGATTTCTTGCTCCATACAGAATTTCTAAATTCCACTGTATCCCAGTTGGGATTCAATGTCTTTTCGCAGCTATTAACTCCACATCAATGGAACTGGATTCTGAAAATGCCATTAGAGAGAAACAAAAGCAAACAACAGAATTAGGACCTTTTCATTTCTCTTCAGAAAATAGGAAAAAAACATTGTAAATTGCCCATCAGATACAGATGTACCTAGTGGTAATATTATTTCCATTTTTAGGTTGCAAGGACAGCAAGCAGACCCCTGGCAGCTGGAGATATCTCCACTTTCCAGTCCTTGGTTTTTCTCGGGGGACAGCTCAGCCTGGCACTGTGTGTGCTTCTGTGTCTGAATTACTACAGGTGATGTATGAGTTATCTTTTGGTTTTTAAAGTCTGGTTCTTGGTCCTGAGTTAAGCACTGAGATTTTGAGTAGAAAAGGTGTTGGGGTCAGAGGGAGGATGTTATTAGTCATGGAATTGTAATTGAAAGGAAAGAATTAGATCAGTACCATGTACAGCTCCTGCAGTGCTGCACTACGTCTGCTGATCTTTAGCCTGGCAAACAATAATTCTCTTGGTACCTTTTGCAGTATCATTCTGGGAGCATCCTCTTTATTCCTTGTGATCACCTACCCTCTGATGAAGAGAATAACATACTGGCCACAGCTAGTTTTAGGTGAGATGGAAAGATTTTTTCTCTTTTTTTAACTTCAGATATAGTTTTTGGGGTGTTTTACAAGTTAGTACTTGAGCTTTAGCAATCTGACTTTTTATAACTTTATATCAAAATAGAAGTACCTTACAGACAAAGCTCTGTTGTGCCACAAGCTTCTTAATTTATGACAGGCCCTGGCATTGATGTGTGGTTTTGGGGTTGGATTTTTTTTATTATTAGAAATTAATTCCTTGTTTTGATGCAGTGATAGGAGGTAGAAGAGTAGGGTGGAAATAAACATTTTGTCATTTGAGAGTGAGCTGTAGTTTTGCAGTTATTTCAAAACCCTTCTTAAATACAGATTTGTCTGTACAGCATCAGTCTTCAGCTTCTAAAATAACTCCTGAATAGATACTGA